GTGTCCTTATAGTAGAACGATTTGTAATCCTTTGGATATATACCCAGTAATGGGATTGCTGGGTCAAATGGAATTTCTATTTCTAGGTCCTTGAGGAATCGCCACACTGTCTTAGTCTCAGCTTTTTTCAGTTGCAGAAGAGAACTAATAATAGCTCTTTTCAAGGTTTTGTTGGAATTAGAATACAATGTAAACAGTGAAGCTAAACCAATTAAGTCCAAGTAACTGGTGCAAAGGTTGGATTCTAGGCCCCCTTTCCCACATCTACTGGCTATTATATAAGCTCAGGCAGTGGTTTCACTTCTGGGCCTTGGTTTCCTTACCTATAAGACGGGCAGCTCAGAAGTTTGTCGTGAGAATGAGAGGAGCCTCGAATGAGGAGTGTGGGCGGTTTATTAGTCCTGTGGCTACTTCCAGGCCCCAAGGGGAAGTAGATGCCTTTCCTTGGGTGCAGGTGCTAGAACGGATGAACTCCTAGAGGCTGAGTTCCTGCACAATGACAGAGCAGGACCATCCTGGCTGCTGGACTCTCCCTGCCCTGCACTTCAAGTGGCTACTGTGAGGCCAACAGCTGTCCCCTCCAAGTGGCATCCTTGGGGCACAAAGGGCAGTGGAGAGAGCAGGGCACACTGGCTCATTGTCTCTGGGACTGAGCAGCAGCAGCTGCGGGTGAGGGGCACCCCTCCTGACCTCCAGCCCCTCCCAACCCCGTGGCTACTTGGCTACCAGGCCATCACTGCCAGATCTTACAGTGGCCCCCAGCTGCACCTGACTGTCATGGGACCCCTTCCCCCACGGCATCTTTTACCAGGGGCCCATAGGAATAACCAATTTTAAGAAGGGATAGGCCCAAGTGCAGTGGCTCACGCCTTTAATCCCAGCACTTTGGTGGGCTGAGGTGGGCAGATCAACTGAGGTCAGGAGTTCGAGACCAGCCTGGCCAACATGGTGAAACCTCGTTTCTACTAAAAATACAGAAAGTGGCCAGGCGTGGTGGCAGGTGCCTGTAATCCCAGCTACTCGGGAGGCTGAGACAGGAGAATTGCTTGAACCCAGGAGATAGAGGTTGCAGTGAGCCGAGGTTTCCCCACTGCACTCCAGCCAGGGCAACAGAGTGAGACTCCATCTCAAAAATAAAACAACAACGGCAACAAAAGACCCCTGTGTCAGGCACCCACGTGTACTTCTCACTGATCCTCAGTCCTCCAGGGACAGAGTTTGCATTGGTCCCATTTTACCAATGCAGAATCTGGGGTTCAGAGAGGCGATCAAATGCCTGGCCCACGATACAGACTGGTAACTGACAAAGCCTAGATTTGAACTCTGGCTTGCCTGATGCCCCTGTCTGCACCGTCACCGCCATAAAGGCAGTGTGCACAGTGGGGAGGAAGGCAGGTACTCTAGATAAAAGAAAGGTGGGCATGGCCACGACCTGCCCAGTAAAGCACTGGCTGCCATTGATCCCAGGCCAGGGGCACGGGCGTGATGACCTTGCCAGGCCCTGCAGCCAGAGAATTCCAAAGCTCCCCCCACCTCCACCCCCGCTTTTCAGAGCAGAGCGTTAATAAAGGGGAAGGAGCTGGATGATGACAGTTCAGGAAATTTGCAGTGGGAGCTAAATGAGGGCCTCATAATGATGGTGATTAAAAATTCACGCTTCTGTTTGTGCAGCGATTTGAGTGTCCACTTAGCACCAGGGATCAATTCATAAACGAAAACACAAGTGCTGGGGATAAGCTCCAGGGCACAGAAGAGGGGATTGTGAGGTTTGAGAGGGGCCAACCCAGGGCTGGGGCACTGCTTCTGATTGTTGTACAATGTGGACACCAGTGCACTTCACGAGCCATGAGGTGGGGCAGCTCCCCCGGCCTCAGCAAAGCTGAACCGTCACTCAGCTTCTCTGGGTGTCTGTTTGCTCATCTGCAAAAGGAGTGAGGTCTTCCAAAACTGCATTTCTTTCTTACTGTTGGGATAGGGTCTTACTCTGTCACCCAGGCTGGCGTGCAGTGGGGCACTCATGGCTCACCGCAGCCTCGACTTGAGTAGCTGGAGCTACAGACATGCACCACCATGCCCACCTAATAATTTATAAATTTTTTGTAGAGATGGGAGTCCTGCTTTGTTGCCAGGCTGGTCCCGCAGTTCTGGACTCAAGTGATCCTCCCTCGCTGGCATCTCAAAATGCTGGGACTACAGGCCTGAGCCACTGCATCTGGCCTGGACCTAGACTTTTTGGGTAACCAGTTCAGTTCACTGAAGAAGGTATTTTGAATAAGCAAAAACTATGAATGCAAGCCCCGTTGTTTGTGCACCAAACTAATGACCCACTGGGAGAAGGGATCTCATCCACATGACACCCACCACACACCTCTGCTGGTCAGGCACCTGGGGCCTTCCCATCCCAATGGGAAGCTGATGGAGGAGGAGAGAAGCTGGGGTGATGGAGGGAGGAGTCTTAGCCTGGAGTCTCCTTCATGTTCACCCCTCATCAATTAACTCTTGCAGACCACCAGAGTAATAGATAGCTCTTTGGGCTCTATCCCCAGGGCTCTCATGATTTTAAAGAATCATCCCCAGGCCGGGCACAGTGGCTCATACCTGTAATCCCTGCACTTTGGGAGACTGAGGTGGGCAGATCACCTGAGGTCAGGAGTTCGAGACAAGCCTGGCCAATATGGCGAAACCCTGTCTTTACTAAAAATACCAAAAATTAGCCAGGTGTGGTGGCAGGCACCTGTAATCTCAGCTACTCGGGAGGCTGAGGCAGGAGAATCGCTTGAACCCAGGAGGCGGAGGTTGCAGTGAGCCGAGACTGCGCCACTGCACTCCAGCCTGGACGACAAGAGCTAGACTCCCTCTCAAAAAAAAAAAAGTCATCCTCTTGCACAGTCTTCCACTGACCATCGCTCAGAGAGCCATGTCCTGTTCTCAGAGCCCTGCGGTGGCTTTGCTGCCTTCATGATCACTCCCCGACAAATCTCATTCCAACAGGCCTCCCAGAGTTGGGTCGTGCCCCAGCTCTCCAGCCTCCCTGTCCCCATTCCCCCTCTGTACCCCCACTTCTGCCAAACCAATCCTTGAGCGCCTCCTCAGCCTGCACGTTGCTCCACACCCCAACCTTCATACTGCTGGCCTTCTTCCAGAACATTCTCTCCGCATCATCATGAGTCTCCATTGAGAGCTCTCCCTGCCACCCCTTCCTGCCCTGCTGGGCCTCTCATCCCTCCATCTCATTATTGTGTGAATGGCTAATGTCCCCTCCTTGACGGGGGCCGTCTCTGAGGGTAGGGACGGGGCCCTAGTGCAGAGAGACTCAGGCATGTTTAGGGAAGGAAATCATCAAGAGACCCAGATTTGAACGCCATCCATATCACCTCCCAAACCACGTGCCCTTGGCCTCTCTGGGGCTGGATTTCCTCATCAGTCCTGCCTGCCCTGCAGGCTAGTGTGAGCCTCTAATGAGCCTGTGTTGACAGATGAATGCATTCTTGGGACTACTAATCAACACATACAAGGAAGGCCAAGAAAAGCCAGGGGTTCTGCCCCAGGGACCCCTCGGCCCCACCCTCTGGCAGCCCTGGAGCTGGGTCCCTCTGCCTCTCCCAGGATGCAGTCAGAGGCCCTGGAAGCTTCTGGAAACTCTTGGCTCTCATCCCTGCCCCTCCCAGTCCCGCCTCGGCTCCAGGTGTCTATCTCTCCAGCTATTTTCTTTTCTGATCTGGAGTTCAAAAGAACAGATCGAGGAGCGACAGCCACAGGTAACAAAAGCCGGCAGGGCAGGCTGGTTCATGTTGGCCCAGCTGTGAGCCTGCGGGGCTGCCCACTGCTCCCTGCTGGGTCCGGTCACCCAGAAAGGAAAGCGTTTGCGTTCTGGTTCTAGCGGCCTCGATGGCCAATGTGACTGAGAACAGCAGCTCCAGTTAGAGGCAAGGCCAGTTTGGGGCCAGAGCAGGGGGAGGGAGGAGCCTGGTCTAATTAGAGCCCTAACGTGCTACTTTGAACGCATTTTCAAATGTCCCAGCCCTGCAGGCTAGGGTGGTGTAATAATAATAAAACAACATTTGCATAGAGACTTCATTTATAAAGCACTTTCTCAGGGGTGGGGTGGCGCTGGGGTGGCCCTGTGGAATCCTGGCTGGGAGGCCGCTCTGCCTTGGGTCGGTGCCAGCCTCCAGCCAAGCTGGCGATTGCATTCGAGGTAAACAAAGCGCCATTCATCCAACTGTTTCCGATTCCTCAGCGCTTCATCCTTTTTCCTTCTCTCCCATGAAGAGCTCACTGGGGCTTGTCACTCAGGCCAGAAAAGGGGTGTCAGGGGTCCCAGAGGGAAACCCATTCCCTGATGGGAAGAAACGGGGAGATGGGACGGCTCCCTCCCTCTGCACACCCCTACCACCCCCAGCTCGGGCAGAATAGCAGCCTTGCTGCGGTTGGTTTGTGCAGCTCTTTGCTAACCTGTGGCTGTGTCTTCATGGACAAAGTATGAGCCCACGTTTGATAATGTCTGCGTGCATGCCACGTTTGTGCTTGGTAATGTGCACAGATAAGCAGTTTGTGGAGCTCTGCAAATCCCTCCCCACCCGAGAGGGCCTCGTGTACACAGTGTGGGGCAAGGGGCCCTGGGGCGTCTGCCCCTGCACCGGCTGGGTGTGGTGAGGCAGCTGGGTCCCACTCCGGTACAGCCAGGGCTGGAGAGTTGCCTGCCGTCACCTGGCCACTGGCACGCCGGGTAAAAGGGGAGGCATTGGATGCTGGCCCCTTAAGGGCCTTTGATGAGCTATATAGGGCCCACCTGCCTGGGCTCTGGAAGCTTCCGCAGCCCTAGCAGGAGATGGAAGATGCAGGAAGTCATTGCCGGACTGGAGCAGTCGCCTTTGAGAAGGATGTCAAGATGCAGAAAGGCACTGGGCTCCTGCCTTTCCAGGGCATGGACAGTGAGTGAGGATGGGGCCACTGTCCCTCCCCACCCTCTCTACAGGCCTCTCTGCTCAGCTCCCTGATGCAACAGCCCCTTCTCTGTCTTTCTTTTCTGTGGCTTCAGGGGAACCCATTTTCCAGGCTGAGAAAGAGGCACAGCGAGACGGTGAATTGAGAGAAGCCACACTGGCCCCCTGAGCTCCTGGGCCAGCCTTGGGCCCCTCTAGCTCCTCTGTTTCAGAGTTGGGGGGTTTAAGGGTTGAGGTCTGCTGGCTGGCTCTGCAGGTGAATGTCCACAGGGCCCAGATTTGGGGGCCCACAGGCCAGAGCCTGGAGGAGGTCCAGATGGGACATGCTGATAGGAGGTGGCGGCTCCCCCACAGCTGCCGCCTCTGGGAAAGCTACTTTCTTGGTTCCCTCTTCTCCTTCCAGAGTCGGGCTCAGCTGTGTGCGACTTCCATTAAGGGCTCTGGAGAAAGGTGAGTTAACAGGCAGGCGTGGGCCCTGGGCCAGGTGAGTGCAGGGTTTGTCTGGCCTGGGATAAGGTGTGAAATTTGCACCTAAGGAGGGGAAATTGGGAAGGGAAATTTGGGATGGAGCGGAATTTTGTTTATTTATTTTTAGACGGAGTCTCGCTCTGTCACCCAGGCTGGAGTGCAGTGGTGCCATCTCGGCTCACTGCAACCTCCGCCTCCCAGGTTCAAGCAATTCTCCTGCCTCAGCCTCCCGAGTAGCTGGAACTACAGGCATCTGCCACCACACCCGAGTAATTACTGTATTTTTCGTAGAGATGGGGTTTCGCCATGTTGGCCAGGCTGGTCTCAAACTCCTGACCTCAGGTGATCCACCTGCCTGGGCCTCCCAAAGAGCTGGGATTACAGGCATGAGCCACCACACCCAGCTGTGGAGCAGAATTTTAGACTCACAGGTAGACAAAGGACAAGTGTGTGGGTCCACCTAGCAGCCTGCCCCTCCCCCAAGATTTCCAGCCTCTGCAGCTGTCTTCGAAGTTGGCATCAGGGTCACCAGGCTGCCTAGGCAGGCGTGTTTCTTTCCTTCTTCCTTGCTGGGGTCGGGGTGCGTCTGAGCTCTGGCCTGAGAATTCCCAGGAGCCCCAGCCTCTTGATGTTTTTCTTCTTTTGCTCCCAGCTAAAGGGGAGGCACCCTTCTCCCCGGAGCCTATGCTCTGACTCGGTTTGGAAGCTGGTCAGTTTTCCCATCCATTCCGTATGCCCTGAGGTGGCGCTGGCCACTGTCTTTGAAATGCTACCAAAAAGCATCCTCCACTTCTCTCCTGCCCAGCTTTTGGGTCAATACCCTCTTCCTAGACGCAGCTATTCTGGAAGGCCTGACTCATATACAAAGGTTTTCAACTTTTCTATTTATTGATTGATTTAGAGGCAGAGTGTTGCACTGTTGCCCGGGCTGGAGTGCAGTGGCACAATCTCGGTTCACTGCAACCTCCGCCTCCTGGGTTCAAGCGATTCTCTTGCCTCAGCCTCCTTAGCTGTTGCCGGGATTACAGGTGCCCACCACCATGCCTGGCTGTATTTTTAGTAGAGATGGGGTTTCACCATGTTAGCCAGGCTGGTCTCGAACTTCTGACCTCGTGATTCACCTGCATGGGCCTCCCAAAGCACTGGGATTACAGGCGTGAGTCACCGCATTCGGCCTTGGGTTTTCAGCTCAGGGACCTCGTAGAGGCTCTTCCCACAGAAATACACAATTGCCAAAAAACCTGCCTTCCAATTTTAGGGTTTCCTAGTCCTCCTGCTGCTTGTCTATACATTTAGGTTAAGAAATCTCGCTGGTGTGAGAGTTCAGGACATGCTTTGCGATCCAAATAATTCTGTGCCTGGAAGCCTGGAAGCTCTCTGCACGCACCCAGGAGCCCGCAGGCTCAAATGTGGGCTGAGGGACGTCTCCTCAGCTCAGCCTATCCAGTCTCTAGAGCAGTGTTTCCTAGTGACGCCCTCTTGCGAAGAAAGCAAGGTGTTCTGGTGGGGGGTTGGAACCAAGCAAGTCCCTGGCCAGGGGTGGAAGGTGGGGCTATTTCAAAAGACCACCTTGGTGGGGCGAGTTGGCTCACACCTGTAATCCCAGCACTTTCGTGAGGCAGAGGCCGGAGGATGGCTCAAGACCAGCCTGGGCAGCATAGTGAGATCCTATCTCTACAAAATATAAAAATATAATAAAAAAAAAAAAAGGAAAGTATGTCCATTTTTTTCCTATCCCCCAAAGTATGTCAGAGAACTGGCCAGGCATGAGGCTGGTCCTGCTTAGAAACTCAGGAACTGCCGGGCGCGGTGGCTCACGCCTGTAATCCCAGCACTTTGGGAGGCTGAGGCGGGTGGATCACGATGTCAAGAGATCAAGACCATCCTGGTCAACATGGTAAAACCCCATCTCTACTAAAACTACAAAAAATTAGCTGGGCATGGTGGCGTGTGCCTGTAATCCCAGCACTTTGGGAGGCCGAGGCGGGTGGATCACGATGTCAAGAGATCGAGACCATCCTGGTCAACATGGTGAAACCCCATCTCTACTAAAACTACAAAAAATTAGCTGGGCATGGTGGCGTGTGCCTGTAATCCCAGCTACTCAGGAGGCTGAGGCAGAATTGCCTGAACCCAGGAGGTGGAGGTTGTGGTGAGCCGAGATCGTGCCATTGCACTCCAGCCTGGGTAACAAGAGCGAAACTCCGTCTCAAAAAAGAGAAAAAAAAAGAAACTCAGGAACTGCCAGTCTGGGCAATGTGGCAGAACCCCATATCTTCAGCAAATATAAAAATTAGCTCAGTGTGGTGGTGCATGCCTGCAGTCCCAGCTACTGGGGAGGCTGAGATGGAGAACTGCCTGAGTCCAGGAGGTCGAGTCTACAGTGCGCCGTGGCTGTGCCACTGTACTCCAGCCTGGCCAACAAAGTAAGATACTGTCTCAAAAAAAGCAAGAAACTTAGGAACTGGGTGTCCTTCCTGCTAATAGCAATGCAGGCGTGAGTGAAGATGATAAATCAGTTAAATGTAACATTTCCATGGAAGATTCCTTGTAAATCGTTACAAAGTTGGCTCTTCTGTCACCCTGTTAGGTCTCTGGAATCAAGAAGCGTAACATTTGGTGTTTTTAAAGATGGGAATTCAGCAGGCTCTTAATGAGCACTTACTATGTGCCAGGGGCTGGGCTGGGCTGGGTGTGGGGATTCTGAGCTGGAAAGCCTAGCCCTGCTCCCTGGCAGGATGAGAGGGGGTCTTAGGCTGTGTGGGAATGAAAAGGAGGCAGCTGTTCCGACCCAGGTGCTTCCCCAGGAGAAGGGCGTGGCACACCAGGCAGAAGGGAAGGATGGGCAAAGCTGTGGTAGTGGGAACAGCTGTGCATTAAGAAGAGCTTGGTCTGGCCAGGTGTGGTGGCTCACGCCTGTAATCCCAGCACTTTGGAAAGCCGAGGTGGATGGATCACCTGAGGTCAGGAGTTTGAGACCAGCCTGGCCAACATGGTAAAACCCCATCTCTATTAAAAATACAAAAATTAGCTGGGTGTAGTGGTACATGCCTGTAATACCAGCTAGTTGGGAGGCTGAGGGAGGAGAATCACTTGAACCTAGGAGGTGGAGGTTGCAGTGAGCCCAGGTCGTGCCACTGCACTCCAGCCTGTGCAACAGAGCGAGACTGTCTCAAAAAGAAGAGCTTGCCCTTCATGCTGCCTCGGCCCCTGGTCCTAGCTCCTACAGGGTCCAGGTGAAGGGATAAGGGGAGAGCCACTGGGGACTGGGTCCAGTACCCTCCTGGGGAATCCCCTGGAGGGCTGAGCCGGGCCAGGCTGTGGATGAGGGGCCTCCCAGCCCCGTGCTTTGGCGTCTCCAGGGAAATTCCGCCCCTTCCAGCATGACTGAGGGGAGAAGCACTGGCTCCGGGGGGCTGTACAAGAAGGGTGACCCCTGCAAGTTCCTGCACCAGTGTGACCTCACCAGGATGCCTGAGTGCTGCTTCTACTCCGCCTTCGGTAAGGCTCTTCCTGGCTCAGCCCCTCACCCTGGAGGGCGGCAGTGTGGGCTGTGAGATGGGAAGAAGGTTTCTGGAGGAGAGGACACACAGAGGAGGCCAGACATGTCCCTGGAGGCCAGATTGACCTGTCTGAGGCTCAGGTGCCTGTTCTCCAAACCCCTAAACAAGCAGAAGTGCACCCCGAAATCCCTGCCCTTTACTGCCCCACCAGGTTCAAGGTGTGTACCAGTTACCCCCAAAAGCAAAGAGGGAATTGTTTCTCTCCCCAGCCCTGGCTCATCACACACCCACCCCAACTATTTGGAAAGTCTCAGATGAACTATCTCTCAGGCCTGGGCTAGAACTTCTGAACATCAGGCCTTCAGAGCCACATTCATGATGCCTGCTGTGCCCTCAAAGCCCCTGCGGCACTGTCTGCTTTTCTAACTGTCTTGCTGTTTCAACTCTTTCTTTAGAAGAAACTTTGCATTGTTTCCACAAATGGAGAACTAGCGTCACTTGTTGGAAATCAAAGGTAACTGTAAACATAAAACCATGAGGTTCAGAAGTCCAGCTCCTAAAATCATCTTGTGTAGTCAAGCCCAGACCAGCGTCTTGCCTCCACCTGGCTTCAAGGTGTCCTTTGTCCTTTTATTTATTTATTTGAGACAGGATCTTGCGCTGTCCCCCAGGCTGGGGTGCAGTGGCATGATCTTGACTCACTGCAACCTCCACCTCCCAGTTCAAGTGACTCTCCTGCTTCAGCCTCCCAGGTAGCTGAGATTACAAGTACCCACCACCATGCCCAGCTAATTTTTGTGTTTTTAGTAGAGATGGGGTTTCGCCATGTTGGGCAAGCTGGTCTTGAACTCCTGACCTCAGGTGATCCACTCGCCTTGGCCTCCCAAAGTGCTGGGATTACAGGCGTGAGCCACTGCATCCGGCCTCCTTTGTCCTTTTATTTATTTATTTATTTATTTATTTATTTTTTAAAGATGGGGTTTCACCATGTTGGTCAGACTGGTCTTGAACTCCGATCTCAGGTGATCCGCCCACCTTGGCCTCCAAAGTGCTTGGATTACAGGAGTGAGCCACGGCATCTGGCTTCCTTTGTCCTTTTAATCAAGGGGCTATTGATGGGGCAGCTGCAACCACTTTCCCCCTTACTTAAGAAAGGAATCTGTGAATCTCATCTTTCATGATACAGTTCTATAGCTCAGAGCTTTCAGAGCTGGAAGGAGCCTTATGGATTATCCAGTCCAGTGGTTTTGGAACTGTATTCTGAAAAGAGTGACCTGCAAGAAGACAGCTGGCAGAATCCCCTGGACGCCCCTGACTCAGGAGGCTTGGCTTCCAAATGTGGCTGGAGCCAGCTTCAGGCCCCTCCAGCGGCTGTTTGTTGTTAATGCCAATGGGAGGGTCCTGGGTACCCGAGAAGGAGGCCAGTCAGAGGCCCTCCCGGGCCCAGTCCATTTCCTGCCTGCTCCTGGGAGCTGCTCCCATGTCTCCCCTGAAGGGACAATGTTGATCCAAGCTCCCCTTGGTCACTGCCTAAAATTCTGTGACTTTATTTATAAAATGCCACCTATTTAGCAATCCCCTCAGTAGCCCTGGGTTTTTGTTTGGGGATCAGATGCTCCTGGGCATGGATACAGGAACAGAACCAGGCACCCTTCGGCCCCCAAGTAACTCCAGTGAGCAGGGGACAGACTTGTAAGCCCGTGATTACAAGATGTAACCCACGGTCTTACAGTAAATGAATGCATATGTCTTTCGAATATCAATGTGACGATCGCTCTAATTGGAGTCGGCATGTTGTTGGGGAGGTTGTGGGAGTGGGAGTCACTGGAAGGGCCTGGTGTCCCGGGTCTCTGATAGGCTGGCTGAAGGCTGAGGTGCTGCTGCCACCTGCTGGCCAGGCCAGGAATGCAGAGACGTGCACCCAACAGAACGGCAACCAGTGTAGATGACGTCCTGCTCTCTCCATCAGTCAAATGCTGGTCAGTATCACCTAGGGCGTGATGTCACTTTGATTCATTAGAAAGCTCAAGCCCAGAGTCAGCACTCTGCCCAGTGCTGCACACTGATGATGAGCAAATGAATCTTTCATGAAGGTGAGGAGGCTGAATGAAATGGATGTGGCTTTTCCCTCTCTCTGAGCCCTGGCGTTGTTCTCTGTGAATTGAGAAAGCTGGGAAAGAATGGTGGTTTTAAACTCTTAGGAATCAGGGGTACTCACCTTCTTCTTCTTCCCCCCTTTTTTTTTTTTTTTTTGTTTTTTCCTGAGACAGCTCTGTCACTCAGGCTGGCCTGCAGTGGCGCAATCTCTAGCTCACTGCAACCTCTGCCTCCTGGGTTCAAGCGATTCTCCCACCTCAGCCTCCCAAATAGATGGGATTACAGGCATGTGCCACCACAGCTAATTTTTATATTTTTAGTAGAGGTGGGGTTTCAACACGTTGGCCAAGCTCGTCTCAAACTCCTGACTGCAGGTGATCCTGAGGATCACCCACCTGAACCTCCCAAAGCGGGAATTACAGGCATGAGCCACTGTGCCTGGCCTAGGGGTACTCTCCTTTAGAGGAAACCTTGCACTGCAGAGGCCCAGCGTATAAAATAGATCTGCTTGGAGCAATTTGAAAATCAGTGGAATAGACACTGTGATACTCCTTCAGCTCTGAAAGGCACTAAGTTGTAGACATTAAGGAGGATGAAGCTGGAAAGATTCATGAATTCTTCAACTCGAATGAAGTGAAAGTGGGTTGAATCTTCCTCCGTGCTTCCTTCAGAACTTTCTTCCTAAGAGAAATCTAAGAGGGCTCTTAAAATGACACCTGAGTCACCTGGGCCTGCAGGGCTCCTTGTAGGAGATACAGTAAGCCTGAGCCTTGGTCTAATCCACACAGATGACAGTGCAGGTTTAGTATAACTTGAGGTGACCACTCTGCGGAGTGTTTCTTTTCATCCCTGTGCCCACGTGAGCAGTGCTCTGCTTTTCCTAGGCTCTGGAGGCAGCATGGGTTTTGTAGCAGAGATGAAGAGGGAGCTTCAGTTACAGCGACGTGGAAATATCCCCACTTAACGGCGTAGGGCTTCTCAGCTCTCCTTGTTCCTGCTGGCTTCTAACTGCCTTCAGTTCCAGTGCCTGCTTCTCCATCTGGGGTCCTGCCCCGACTCTTACTCTTCCAGACGTGTATATTCAGACCACGCTCTGCTTAGCAAATAAGACTGCGAGCCACCTTTTTTTTTTGGACAGAGTCTCACTCTGTCACCCAGGCTGGAATGCAGGGAGTGATTTTAGCTCACTGCAACCTCTGCCTCCCAGGTTCGAGCAATTCTCTGCCTCAGCCTCCTGAGTAGCTTGGATTACAGGCACCCACCACCACGCCTGGCTAACTTTTATAGTTTTAGTAGAGACAGGCTTTCACTATCTTAGCCAGGCTGGTCTTGAACTCCTGACCTTGTGATCCACCCACCTCGGCCTCCCAAAGTGCTGGGATTACAGACGTGAGCCACTGTGCCCAGCCCCACCTTTTTTAGACTGCAGGAAGGATTAGACATACCTTGCCACCTTCAAAAAGCTGGTGGCTCCCAAAAGAAAAGCCAGAGTCTTCTGTTTCCATGAGGAGCAAGGTCAATCTGATTTGGAGACACCGAAATTGACCACAAAGAGAAACTTTGTGCTTCTACAGAGAGTGCTGGGATTTTCGGGTGACTGCAGCAGCAACGAGTGTCCCTTCCTCCATGTGAAGCGAGCTCTCAAGTCCCGGGACTGTCCTTGGTCACCTGGTGTGCCCCCACACCAGGCTGTGTTTTGTGTGTCACAGCAGAGCTTGAGAACTACAGAAAGGCCTTCTGTTGGGGTTTCAATGAGGCACAGCCTCATCAGGAAAACGGTCCCTCCCTGCTGGGAGCCCCCACCCCGATCACCACAGCCCCTAGTCCTCCCTGGCTTTTGAGGCCTCACCATCCTTGCAGAAACCTTGGTCATACCAAGGACAGTCCCGGGACTTGAGAGCTCGCTTCACATGGAGGAAGGGACACTCGTTGCTGCTGCAGTCACCCGAAAATCCCAGCACTCTCTGTAGAAGCACAAAGTTTCTCTTTGTGGTCAATTTCGGTGTCTCCAAATCAGATT